CTTAAGTAATTGAATTAAAATTATGAATTAAAAAATAATAAATTAATAAATAATGAAAGAACAAAATACGCAAATGAGACAAAAATAAGTATACGAAAGAAACTTCTGTGCTATACATAGTTTAAGGAACTGTATTTCAGTTACATTGTATTACAATTACATTCTACTTCAATTACATTGTATTTCAATTACATTTCATTTCAATTGCATTATATTTGACTTGTACTCATGATTAAAATAATTGGCAATTGAATTACAACGTAGTTGAATTACTGTGTAATTGAAATACAACGTCATCATATTGCAATAAAGGAGAGTGCCAAGTTCTACATCATCAAAAAATGGAATTAATCTATTTGCTGACCCGCTGACCCAAACCATCGCAATATTTAAACAATCTCGCGATCTCCATAAGAAGCGGCAATAAACCCCTGGATCCCCATAATCCAGAACACAAAGGACAAACCCGTATTTAAAAAGGAAAACTAAAAAGGCTCTTCGAAAATTTCCGCGAGTGGTGTACTACGTTATCTCTCATAAGTACAAAACCAGCCAAAAGTTTGCAGTTTTTATACATTGTAGTCAATATAATAATGAATGAAGTATGCCATATTTGAGATTGCGTCAAAAAACAATACCTTTTTGAAGATGGATAAATTTCATACAGTAAAAAAATAAAGAAAAACGAAAGAAAACTAATTTATTATTGTTTCGCAACTATAGAATCATTAGAATAAAACACTTTATTACACGAAAATTTAACAGAAAATACAACAAGATGAAATTATAATAATAATTTAATAATAACTAGATTGCGGATTTTATGCGCTTATGAAGAAATCAGATAACTGCAATTTAAAATAGCAGATACATTGAGAGAATCTAAAAATGTCGATGTATTATTTCCAACCTATTAAAACTAATGAATCAAAAAAGAGCTTGCTATTCGGCTCATACTTCTTGCATGATAAATATGCATGCAATTGATAAATACAGTTATAAAGATCCGCGGTCTAGTAATAACACTAAATTAAGGTATAATTTAGTACAACACCCGTTCAAAATCAGAATAAATATCTACCTATTTCGATGAACTTTTCAACGCGCGTATCACTTACCGAGATCTACGTAACCCATTCTTCAAATATTCGTTATAGGTTCGGATAAAATGTTAAAAAGCGAGAGTTCTCTGTTTTCTTTCGTCATTCCAAGCGACAGCAAAATTGAAAGAAAGCATTCCACAGCCGTGGTCTGGTATACTGGTCCCCTCGATCGTGTCTAAAGACAATGCAAGTTGTTCAGTCGAATTCTAAAAAAGTTATTGCATGTTGAAAGGTGTCCGAATGATAATCGGGATCACTGTACGTGGGAGTGGTTGCCACCGGTCTGGGTAAAGATCGGTTGAGAGCCGCTGTCCTTTCTCTCGGCTGCAGCGGGCATGGTGGGGGATTGGCAGCCGGCGGGGAAGGGAGTTTCTCGTGCACGGTCTTTGCGGGCGTACTTTTCACCAGTCGCGGACGCTGTCAGTGAGCGTCAGTCTCGAAGGAGTGGTCCTGGTAGTGTCCTCGTTTGCGCGACGCCAGGATCCCCAGGCATTGTCCTTTGTGAGAGGATCGGTGTCCCTTCGTACCTCGCGTCCCCGACGAAACGGCCGTGCCCGGCTCGGCCCGACCGACATCGGATAACGGAAGCGGCGCCGATTCGTTCGCGGAGTGAAAACGGAACCGGGCCCCCGTTGTTCCGAGGCTGGATTTCATTGCGCAACCGGTCGATCGTTCGATCGATCGATCCATCGATCTCTATTATTCCAACACCTTTTGTTAACCGGCCAGCTCTCTCGGGAAACCTAAGTTTCGCTGTGACCGCGCTCGGCCGACTTAAGTGGTTCCTGCTGCATAGCACCCCGGCACCGAGCAGCGCTCGAAGATCGACGATCGAGAGATCTGTCGGAGAACGTGTTGACAATGCGACATTCGTCGCGCACGATTGTTTTTTAAGATATCGGATACCATCGACGATGGAATCTCGTTCGGAATGAAACGACGATTTCATGCGTAATGGCAACCACGAAGTCCCGTTCGGACCAAGGATCACGATTTACACCGCGGAGGATCTAAATATAGGTACTATAACCTTTATTGTTCTCACGGCGGGCCGGGATCGACTCGACGCCGCGGAAAGAAATCGTTTCCTCTGGCACGGAACAGATCGTGTGTCGGAAGGATCGCGGAAAATCCTGTTCGAACCGAGAGACCGATTATTCTCTTTTATTTGAAGAACAAAATCACGCCGAATCACGGCTCACATTGTACCGGCTGGCATTGTGCTAGTTCGAGGACTGTCCTTTTCGTTTTGTGCGGGGAGCCGGAACGATGCGTCCACAGGGTCGCTGAGAATTGTGAGACCGATCCTTGTTTTTTCTAGAGATCCATCGAGAGAATCACGGTTTACATTTCGATCGGATTTAAAAATACGTGCGCCGTTTGTTCGTCGAGCTCGCAGGTGGCTCGATTTGTACTGGTTCGAGAACTGTTTCGTTCGTTTTGCGTGGGAAGCAAGAAAGATACGTGTCGCTGGAAATTGTGCCCGAATCGTGATACTGATTCATATTTATTTCATAAATCGATGGAATAACAGATTTATCGTTACACTCGCAGCATCCTGGAGGCGACTCCGATTATTTAAGAACAACGGAGTTTGCACATCCTTTTCAAGGAGAACGAGTACAGATTCCATCGAAAGGATCACTGAAAATCGCGATCGAATTCAGGGACTGATTCTCGTTTAGTCTAAAAATCGACTGGGCAACGATGTACACCATGGTGGAGAGCGTCTTAATAAAAATCGACTCGATAATTTCCGAATAACAGGGCATGCATCGTTCCGCATCCATCGAGAAGATCATTGATTTTCCTTCGATCCAGAAGAGTTGACCGAGTCACGATTTCCAGAGAAACTGAAAACACGTAATCCGTCGCGTATTGTGCTCGCAGCTTCCTGGAATTAACTCGACTTAATTAAGAAGCACACGCAGAATACGTCGCGTAGCGTACGAAAATTCTAATTCGGATTTTCATTTCCTCGTTGTTCTAATTGCATCCTGAATTCTCGAGCCTGGCTTTCGAAAAGCGTGGCCGAGAGGAGGACGTCCAACCAATACTTTAAAAAGATCGTCGAACCAATACGCTGAGAATATCATCGAAGCAATGCTTCAAGAAGATCGACGAACCAATACGTAAAAGGCTGAGCCGCGTTGTCCCTTAAATCGACTCGATAACTAAAAAAGAAGAGTCGGAAAGGGAACGTAGAACCAGTACGTTGAAAATATCGTCGAACCAATGCGTTGAAAAGATCGTTGAACCAACGCATTGAAAAGATTACCAGCGTTTAAAGCAAAAGGTTGACTTCGGTTTCGTCTCATTGTCCCCTAAATTGACTCGATAACTTAAAAAGAAGAGTCGGAAACGGGACATGGAAATTGTTACTTGAACTGAAAGGGGCTAATTGAAATCGGAAAAAGAATCGTCGGAGTGGATCGTCGAGTGTCGCGGGACCGGCGTGGGAGATCCGCGAATCCGCGAAGTCGAGGATCGCGGGCGTCAGGATCCGAGTGATTCACTGGTGGAACGCGGTTCTGATATTTAAACCGAGCGGTCTCGGCGCGCGGACGGAAGCGATCCGGGCGAGAAGGGTGTCCCATCGATCTTCTGGCTGGATGGCTGCCAGATCCGCGGCGGGTTCTCGAATTTCCCGTTCCCACGGTAAATCTTAGCCGGGCTAGATCCGCGCGCGATAGGAAGTTAGCATGTCCGCGGGCCGGCCGATACCGGCGAACGTGACTTCTCGGTGCACCGGTGATAATTAATAAGCGTCCGGTGTAATTTATGTTCGCGAGTGAAAAAAGCGCGAAAACCGGCAGAAAGTGGGCAGCGCGCGGTGAATCATGCCCAAGGTCGGCCCGTTCGATGAAAGTCAGCTGGCTATTGTCCCTGAGCAACAATCTCCGGCCGTGGTCGACTGTTAAAAGTGTGCTCCGCGAACTGTAGGGTAAGGGTCCCAGTCACACCGACACGCGAACGATCATTTCTCGTTCGTTTGTCAAAGACTGTCGTCTTCCAATAAAATAAATTTATTAATATTATTTAACATAAATTAAATTTTTTTAAAATTTTATTATAGGAAATAAAGTTTTAATGGAATTTTTATTGGCTGAAACGTCTTGCCTACTGCAAATTTGCCGCTTCTCGGCAGAGACCATGAGCGTTATAATTAGGTTGCGAATCTTTATGCGAAATAAAAATTATCTGATTATAAAAGATATAAATTGAACGGAAATGTCTTTTTTCTCCTTTTAACAGTCGTAATTAATTGAAAATAATCTGACGACATTCTTAAATTATTTTAATGACATTTTAGTTTGGTACTTGATCTATTCAGTTTTGACAGAAATGCGTAAAATCCGCAATGTCTGGTTATAACCAAAACGATACAAAATTGACGAATAACCACGAAATTTTGCTGAAAATAATTTCGATTACCAATAACCATTACAGATTACGGAAATAGGTTTTTTTTTGTTATGGATAATAATTATCGATACCAAGAATGTTGATTCATTATAGATAACCATTGTAATGGACGAAAACAATCGTTCGTTACCAATAACTAGACTCTGTGGATTTTATGCATTTATGAGAAAATTGAGCAGGTGTTATATGTGAACTAGTAAAATAATTGAAATAATTTAAGACTATCAATGTATAACCAACGAACGCAGCGAAACCAGCGAAGATTAATGAAGAAAGAGATTCCTAAATGTCTCCTGTATTTTTTTTTGTAATAAATGCAGAAAATGTTTATTTTGCATAAAAATCCACAATCTATCAATAACTATTATAAATAACGGAAATAGTTTTCGGTCGCCAATATACAGTCATTATAGATGTCGAAAATGATTTTTAATTACAAACGATAATTATTGGTGGCGAGAATGTTAATTCGTTACAGATAACCATTATAATTAACGAAAATACTTTTTGGTTATGAATAACTATAACGGATAAGCAGAATTATTGGTTACAGATGACTAGAATTATATATTAGTTGCGCATAAACATTGTAGAAAATTAAAATTTTATTTTGGTTACCGGTAATCGTCGATTATTCTTATTAGACTGCAGAACTTTAAGCAAAATACAAATTGTCGACGTTGATTTCAAAAAATATAAGTTAGACGAAAAAGCCTTTCTTTTTTCAATAATTGCAATATGTTGAAAATAACGTAGCAACACCTTTAAATTCACGTAACGTCTTCATAGTTTTGTATTTGACCTACTTATTTTTATCTCAAATGCATGAAATCCGCAGTCTAATTACTACCGTTACTAGAGTGTGCGTTTCTATGTAAAATCATGGTCGACATACATACTTGCACAGTTTTAAGCAAATCGGAATTTTCGGGTTGCCGAACTTCCCTTGTAAGCAGTAAAAATGTGTTTACATTACATTCTTCTGTACAGTTCTCACTTTTTTCAATAAAAAGTTATCGATTACATTAAATTATATCATAAATACTTCTGAATCGAAATTCCAAGAATCAGATATAGCCAAAATAAAATTCTGATCGTTGATAATCGTTATTCCTAATCAATATTTAATTCTGGTTGTTAAACTGTTTTCGTCAATTGTATTGGTTATCTGGAACGAACCAACATACTCGTCATAGATAATTATTGTTTATAATATAAATCGATTTTCAACAACTATAATGGTTATTTGTAACCGAAAGCTATTTCCGTTATTTATAATAATTTTTGATAACCACAACACGTAAAAGTTCAATTTTTCTGGTCACTTTCGAATTTAATGATTAGGCTATGCTTTATGCGAATAAAAATCAATCTTTTATCGATGATTTTTTCTTAGCAAATTTTTGACGTAATTGTTATTTTTGGTCTCTGCTTTTGAGAATATTTTAAAATATTTGGAACTTTACGTATTTTACCCTTTTTGCAGAGCGAAAATATCTTATATACTTCATATAAAGTTTCAAATCTAACTCCATCTCTTTATTTTCACTTATTTAAAAGTGATTTTATTAATTTAAAGCTTCAGTTTTTGGATGATCAGAAATGTTATTTAGGACAATTTAACTGAAAAGGACAGTATACACTTTTAGCTGAAACTTACGTAAAATTCACTTTTACCAGAAATATCAATCTATCGAAAACTAGTATAAATATTTAACAATAACACTTTTCAGTTATAATAAGGTCGATGACAATTGTTTAGGAGAGACCGGGGCTAGAAGTTCCAATTTTGAGAAAACATAAAAATTAACTAAGAAATAATGCAGTTACATCTTTCGTTCCTGACTAATTTATTGTTAAATTTATTCTACTTTAAGACTATTAACTCAAATGTAATATATTGCAATAAGTTTAAACGAAAGAAATTAGATATCGTCAAACGAATCGTCAGAATCACAGTTCGGACAACTATACGATACATAACATTTACTTTCTTTATACATTTGGTATGAGCCCAGTTCTTGCATAACATACACTGAATCCATTCTTCCGCGAGCTGTTATACGTTCGCATGCTAAAACACAACAGGAACTATTTCTATTATCACGGGAACACAACTAGCCCCAATTGACATGTGTGGCAATGTATAAAAATATTTCGTTTATATATTCAAATATTCTAATAAATGCTATTATTCTAATAAAATATTCAAATATTAAATATTTATGTATATATATATAAATAAAATATTATAATATAATTATATATATATATATATATATAATACACACACACACACACACACACACACACACACACATATATATATATTATAATAATATAATTAGATATATATAAATAAATATTATAATATATATATAAATATTAATATATATTAAATATAATATTTATTCAAATATTCTAATAAATGCTATTACAACATGTTCTTAAATGTTATTTTATTTACAAGAACGGATCAATAGACGATATTAACATTAAATAATTGAATTAGACAAAAAGAATGGTGACTGCAAAATATTTACTTGCCTGATATACGACTACTATCTTATCCGAAACTACACACTGTCGCAGACGCTACTAAAATGGTTGACGACGTGACATGATCGGTCCACACTTTCAAAACAATTGAAAGCACAACGCGATTATTTTTTATTTGAAATCTGTTAGCATCGGAACAATTTACCCCCGGAACTTCTAGCCTCGGTCTACCCTACCCCCTGAAATTCGTTCCATAATAGGCACATACTTTAGCCTTAACGTAACATCAAAAATATTATATTAACCCTTTGCACTCGAGTGGTGAATCTGAGGCACCGTTAAAACTGTTATACCACGTTCCAAGGTAATTTTTATATTAACGAAGCTCAGATCTATAAAATCGTTAAAAGCGTAACTGTTGCATGAGTCACAAATCTCAAAATTTCATATTCATAAAATGCACTTTTTAACCCTTTGGCCTATAACCACGAGTCTGACTCGTGGTAAAGAATTTGTGCCATAAGCGAAAACCACGAGTCTGACTCGTGGTAAAGAATTTGTGCCATAAACAAAAGCCACGAGTCAGACTCGTGGTTAGTATTCATTTATAAATTGCTAATTCATTATCTACTTTGAAATAATACATTATTTTTGTCAACTGATCAATTGATTATGATTGCACCCTAGACGTCTTAAAATTACTATTTGTACCTAAACAGTGTTTATTATTTCGCAATTCCTTTCGTTGCACTGAAAGGTACTCATTTTGCGCCAGTTCAGGTACACGGCTGAACAGTTGAATGGCACGGCGCGCGACCGATTTTCTTGTTTACTATAGCTCGCGCAATTGGCAGATATCGTGTAGGCCAAAGGGTTAATATAAAATGGAAACACTATAAATCAGAGAAGTAATTTTAGATTCACGGTTGAAACGGCTTCGAGTGCAAAGGGTTAAAATTTTGTCGTTCATAAGTTCTTCGCCATATTATTACGATTATCGTTCAAACAAGCGAACGCGGCGGTATTCCGGACAAGCACGGTAATTGGGATCCTTACCCTAGTTCGGACGGCTAGTAGATCGAAGGGGTTCCGATCGATTCGGAGGTATGAAGGTGAGAAGTTACCCTGGTCGCGCGGTCTTGGAGGACCCGGAACTGTTGTTGGACCCGGACGCCACCAGGGGAAGAGCCATGGAGCTGCTTTACGAAGCCAGCTGGCGCGAGTGCGGTGTCAATTGGACCGGCAATGGTCGGAGCAAGGTTACCAGAGAACAGGAGGAGAGGTACCGGCAACCGTACGCGGAGGTGATCTCTCAATTGGAGGGTGTGCTGGAGGGCGGCAGGGTCAGCTCGTCGATCGGCAGAGAGGACTCCGAGTCCAGGCGATCGAGCAGCACCAACACCACGGACAGCGAGTCCGAGGTGAATCAGAGTGGCAACAATCAAGGTGGATTCCTTATACCTCGGCCGAGGCTGATCGTACCGGTTCACACCTATGCCAGGAGACGGCGGACCGGCGCACCACCGCCTGTCAGGAGGCGACAGATACGCGAAGGTATACAGACGCATTCTTTTTTAGCAGAAACCGATCGCGCGGAACGTTGACGTAATCACGGGAGAAATTGCACGGTAGATGAGTTTTAGGTGGGTTGGTTATATGGGGAATATTGACGCGCGAACCAATCAAGTCAGATGTACTAATTCTGCTCGATGACATTTTTAGAAATTTTTAGAGTTCACAGATATTGTCTTAATGCTTGAGACTCTTAAATAACATACACTTTGTTGGATGTGGGATAATAGATCATTTATTGTTTTACATGTATATTAGACAATTAATTATTATACATGTATGCACATTGGACAATTTGTTATAATACATGTATATTAGACAATTTATTATATTAATCAATTTATTGCTGTACATGTATAAATAACAAACACTTTGTTGGATGTGGGATAATAGATCATTTATCTGTCTCTTATACACATCTAGATGTGTATAAGAGACAGATATTAGACAATTTATTGCTGTACGTGAATATTTGATAATTTATTGTTGTACATTAGACAGTTTATCGTTTTACATGTGTATAATTTGTTATACATGTACGTTAGACAATTTATTGCTGTACGTGAATATTTGATAATTTATTGTTGTACATTAGACAGTTTATCGTTTTACATGTGTATAATTTGTTATACATGTACGTTAGACAATTTATTGCTGTACGTGAATATTTGATAATTTATTGTTGTACATTAGACAGTTTATCGTTTTACATGTGTATAATTTGTTATACATGTACGTTAGACAATTTATTGCTGTACGTGAATATTTGATAATTTATTGTTGTACATTAGACAGTTTATCGTTTTACATGTGTATAATTTGTTATACATGTACGTTAGACAATTTATTGCTGTACGTGAATATTTGATAATTTATTGTTGTACATTAGACAGTTTATCGTTTTACATGTGTATAATTTGTTATACATGTACGTTAGACAATTTATTGCTGTACGTGAATATTTGATAATTTATTGTTGTACATTAGACAGTTTATCGTTTTACATGTGTATAATTTGTTATACATGTACGTTAGACAATTTATTGCTGTACGTGAATATTTGATAATTTATTGTTGTACATTAGACAGTTTATCGTTTTACATGTGTATAATTTGTTATACATGTACGTTAGACAATTTATTGCTGTACGTGAATATTTGATAATTTATTGTTGTACATTAGACAGTTTATCGTTTTACATGTGTATAATTTGTTATACATGTACGTTAGACAATTTATTGCTGTACGTGAATATTTGATAATTTATTGTTGTACATTAGACAGTTTATCGTTTTACATGTGTATAATTTGTTATACATGTACGTTAGACAATTTATTGCTGTACGTGAATATTTGATAATTTATTGTTGTACATTAGACAGTTTATCGTTTTACATGTGTATAATTTGTTATACATGTACGTTAGACAATTTATTGTACATGTATATTAAACAATATATTGTTATACGTGTATATTATACAATTTATTGCTGCGCGTGTATATTAGGCAATGTATTACTCAATGAGTAAAACCAAGTTTTAACTAGGTTTTGAAATTCATTATTGTTGTAACATATTGAACAAATCGAATGTTACTCAGATTTTTACAGTAGAAAAAAGTTAAACTAAAATTTCCTATAATAAATTTTCACTTTCTAGTTTCGGTTTCATTCAATTCGACTT